TGAAAAAAAGCCTTGTCTGTTCTTCTGGCTTGATGTCCAGAATTTGGCAGGCAAAACTTTTCATGGCATGGAAATAAATCATTTAACGCCTACTCATTGAGAAATTTGCGGAGAGCTGTGCTCATCGTTCCAACAGATCAAGCTGCTGTTAAACACACAGCTGCCACAACTGGTTAAAACGTTGGCAGCCCTAACTTTGCATGGCCCGATAGCCAAATTTCCAGTTGTTGCACCAGTTCTTTTCCAACATGAGAGCATCAAAGCCTGTCTCGTGATCAGATTCCCATCCCGCTCTCCAAATGACTAAGAAGGCTCAGTGATATTGCCAGCTGGCTGAATAACCATGGTCTGGCCTGCTCCATCCTGTGTTATGCAGGAATCTTACCTGCTAATGTCTGCAAACCCAGCAGCTGTTGGGCGCAGGAACCAGGACCGCAAAAATAAACTTTAAGAAGAGGAGACTTAAGGGACATAAAGTTGAATTTTTGGATACTGCCCTCCTTTTCCTTGATGAACTAATGTCAATACTCAGCCTCACCCCCCACCAAACTAAAATTCCAAAGATATTTTACCAATGGTAATTAAACAGATACAAAGACACTATCAGTTAATACGCTTCGAAGTTCTGTATTCCAGAAAGCACAGCACTACTTAACAGAGCAATCAAGTGCAGCTTCAGAAGGAAAAAACTCAAACTGGAATCAAGCTGCTACTGGTGAACTACAAAGTAAGCTGTTGTGTATTAATTGATTTTAGATACCTGCTTGTTGATTATGTGTAAAGCTTGATTATTTCGTTTGAGTGGGCAAGGCTGGGAGTTGGGGCAAGAGAAACGGAAGTCTTTCATTGCGGCGCTAATGATCTGCCGTACGATATTTTCTCAACTGTAGAGGCTCATTAATTTGTTTCTGGTAAGGAAATATTTTCTCCTTTTCGCTGCCGCGATAAAAATGTTTTGGTTGCGCACACTGTGCAACAGAGCTTTAAACGAACCACCGCCGTCCACTAATGTATGGATAACGTGGGTAGTTAGGTAGGAGAAAGCTGACACTGCAAGAGGAAGAGTTCAGAAGGAGAACAAAGTCAGGACCAGGCTGCCATCCAGATGTGCAATGGAGATTTCATGCAAGCGAATATCTAATATTTAACTTTGCTCTACATTATGATAAACCATTTAATCCCTTGGCTTGGTCTGCGCTGGACAAGGTCAGAATTTAAGTCTTGTCGTATCCTCTAGGTGTGTATATCTTATTCTTTCTGCCTGTAGCATGCCCCAGTGCTCTGCCTCTGTTCCTCTGCACTGCAGATGGAAGTTGTCACGGGGTCAAGGAGCATAGTCTGCACAAATGTAGCAGGAGAGGTGTTTTCCTAGCCTACCTGCACTCCGCTGCATCATTCCTACTCCAGGAGGGATGCTTTCTTTGGCGCTTTTATTCCAAGAGGACCCTCTTATTTTTTGCAGCTTTATGGACACTAGCAAAACAACAACAAACCTATGGTTACGTGAAACATACTCAATAAAAATACAAGACGTAACCGGCTGCACTTTTGAATAAATAAGGTATACTATTCATTGTATCAAATTGTAGATTTCAACGGAAGTCTTGTAAAGTTCAATGAAAAAGCAGAAGACCCAGTGGGTCAGTTTATTCACTAGTCAGTTCATACATATGGTCCATACATGTATGTGTCTATTCCACCTGTCTGTCCATAGAGTCCAATAATCCACATGAAGTGTTGTTACAGTTCCACAGAATCCTTTCACAGAGTCTAAGGCAAGGATTTCCGGAATATTAGCCTTGTTTCGCCATCCTAGGCTTCATCAGTACAATGAATGGTATACCTTATTTATTCAAAAGTACAGCCGGTTACGTCTTGTGTGTTTATTGCTTTATGGACACAGCACACAGCTCAGCTCATCACTGTTGTTGTTGTTGTTGTTAAATAAACAGGGCAAAACAACCTGTAATCTTCTATCCGTGCACATGCACTTTAAGTGTATAAATCTTAATTTTTTGGTAAGTGCACATGCAAAGGACCTTAAAAATTGCAAAGATGTATAGAGGTTGTCGGGTGAAGTTGTTGCAGAGGTGTTCAGCAGCACTGGGACAAAGTACAATGAGGTTCACAAGGGCATTCATTTCCAGTATGCCTTTAAGGACCAAAACTCCTCCATGAACTTTCTTAATCTTTTAAAGCTATCCAAGTTGCTGGCTATCACTCTTGTTACTGAACTACAACTCTCGGCATCCCTTGCCATTGACCATGTTTGCTGGGGATGATGGGAGATGTAGTCCTGGATAGCTCCGTTGGCTAGAGTGCGGGGCTGATAGTGCTAAGGTTGCGGGTTAGATCCCCATATGAGACAACTGCATATTTCTGCATTGCAGGGGGTTGGACTGGATGATCTCAGGGTCCCTTCCAACTCTACAATTCTATGAGATCCTATGAACATCTGGAGGCCCAAAGTTTCCCCACATCTGTCCTACAGCAACAAATTCCATGGTTTAATGCTGCTCAGTGTGAAGAAATAGTTTATTTTCTCTGTCCTGAATGTTCCATCATCCAGCTTCATTGTATTATGAGGGGGGGCAACTTTTCCCCATCCAATTTATTCACCCCATGCATCGTCTCATGCACCTGTATCATGTGTCCCCTTCTCACCTTTGTTTCTAAGCTAAAAAGCCTAAGAACTCTTCACATTTCCTCCTAGGGAAGTTGCTCTACCTCGCTCGATCATTTTGGTTGCAAGTGCAGACACACCATAGATTTGTATAATTATATTGATGTGTTATATTTCCAATCCGCTTCCTAATGACCCCTTAGCATGGAATCTGCCCTTTTCACAATGCAAATGTACTGGTTTGGGTCCACAACCTCATCAAGCTCTATCCACTATGACCCCAAGGTCTCATTCCTGGTCATTCGCTGCCAGCTCAGACTGTGTGTGTGTGTGTGTGTGTGTGTGTGTGTGTGCATATATATATATATATATATATATATATATATATATATATATGACATATTTATCCCTTAATGGCACCCATTTAGTCATTCACTGAAGGCATTTTGACTCCTGGAAAGACTTCCAGATCAATAATGAGCAAGATAAAAGATATAACACACAAGGAATAGGGATGAGGAGGGATGAGGAAAGCAAGGAAACTCAGGTGCTGGTTGCAAAGTTGTTATTAAGTTTGATCCCCATATGGGACAGCTGCATATTCCTGCACTGCAGAGGTTTGGACTAGATGATCCCCAGGCTCCCTTCCAACTCTACAATTCTGTAATCCAGCTAAGATTCTGTGATTCTGCGATTCTAAGGATCAGCTGAGAAGGAAACCGTTTGGAGGGTGCAGTTGCCAAATGGAAATGTTCTCTCAGCAGAGCTGATTGGAGCAGCCCAACTTCCTGTCTCTCTTTCGGCTACCGCTAGCTGACAGCTGGGGCAGCAGAAGAGCCCAAGGCAGCTGGTAAATCACGATCTGGGCACGACAACTCCAGCATGCTGCTCTAGCCTCACTGCCACCTGTCTCCTCTGCTAAGATATGCCCTCCAGCAACAGCGAGGGTCCCTTTCTGCTCCTTGTTCACCACTCAGCAGCTCTGGCTGAGCAGTGCGATCAACATCACGCCTCCTATACTTCCTGCCACTGTTCCAGGTTCTTAATACCCACTGATGAATTGTAGGAACGCAACTGACAATTGCAAAGTGGGTGATAACAGAATGGAACGTTTCCAGCCTTGCAATGCATTCCTAAAGCATTCTCTACCAGTACCTCTCCTTTTCTCTCTCTCTCTCTCTCTCTCTCTCCCCCCATTTTCTCTGAGCATCAGGGAGAGAGCATAGTAGGAACGAAAGCCTAATGCCTTTTTGCACACAGACGTTCGCAAATGTTACAGCCATCCTTGACACCGGTGACCCACTCTTACCTTAGCTGAACCGCTTGAAAAGCCTGTAAGTAATATTTGGAAAGCCTCATTTGATGTAGTTGCTTGTAATGGCCGTCTCGCAAAGTCGGCCTTGAAACAAAAGCTGCCAGCCCCCTCATGCCAAGCCAAGTCTCAGGAACAGGTTTCTGGGTAAATGAAAGTTGCATTGCCTTCCATTAGAGGCGACTTGAAAGTAAAGTGCTTTGACTGTAATACTGCAGATGTCTGCAGGAAACCTGGGGTGGGGGTGGGGGGGAGAGAGAGCGAGAGCCTTGAACACTGTAGTTAGATAGCTGTGCAAAAAAGTACACGAAGGGAAGAGCTAATGTGCAGGACTTCTATTTAAGATAGGGGGAAGGAAATAGAAATTGTGATAGCATGCTATTTCAGGTAATAATAGAAAGTACTTGATGTTTACATGGTGAATGGATCGATACTAATTCTGTAGTCAGGGCACATATACAGTAGTTTGGATTATACAAGTGATAGATGCGCTCTGTACAGCAGAAATTTCCACCCGACAACATTTTATTTCTCGCTGAGTGCCGAGATGGAATTTTTTCCACCCAACTATCTGGGAAGGATTTGCATAAGAATGGCGATAGAGCAGTATTCTTTAATGATGTGCTTTTCTTTGTTAAACTTCAAAAAAATAAAAAATGTCTACGGTGCATGATGAAGTTCGGATGAATTGCCGAGCTAATGCTTTTATATTTTCTTCTAAAGAGCTTATCTTCCTGGTGTTGTGGAAGTTGCTTTATACTGTTGTCATAAAGGTTCAGGCAGCAACACTGACCTGGTTGCAGCCTCTGAGGGTGTCCCCGTCTCCTTCCATACTACTAGGGCCTCTTGAGCAGATGGAAGAGGAAACCCTTAAATTACTAGGGATAGGAGACTTGACAGATCTCCAGAGTAGATTTGTTGGTTATGCAGCTGAGCTGCATTTTCTTCAACCAAGGCACAGGCAACATACTTTAAAAAACCCCTCTCCTCACACATAATCATGGAGTTGGAAGAAACTCCGAGTATTGTCTAGATTCCAACCGCCCTTGCAATGAAGAAATATGCAGCTGTAACTTACGGGGATCAAACCTGCAACCTTGGCATTCTCAGCACCATGCTCTAACCAACTGAGCTATCTACTCAGCATGAAAAGCAACAGAGCCTCTGCCAGAGTTCTCCTCCTTATCCACCCTAAGTGGACTCTGACAAATAGAACTGAGCAGCTGTGGTATAGATGATGACAATGATGATAATTAATAATAATTTATTATTTATACCCCAGGGATGCGGGTGGCGCTGTGGTCTAAACCACAGAGCCTAGGGCTTGCCGAACAGAAGATCGGTGGTTCGAATCCCCGTGACGGGGTGAGCTCCCGTTGTTCGGTTCCTGCTCCTGCCAACCTAGCAGTTCGAAAGCACGAAGTGCAAGTAGATAAATAGGTACCACTCCGGCGGGAAGGTAAACGGCGTTTCTGTGCACTGCTCTGTTTTGCCAGAAGTGGCTTAGTCATGCTGGCCACATGACCCGGAAGCTGTATGCCGGCTCCCTCGGCCAATAAAGCGAGATGAGTGCCGCAACCCCAGAGTCATCCACGACTGGACCTAACGGTCAGGGGTCCCTTTACCTTTACCTATTTATACCCCGCCCATCTGTCTGGGCCTCCCCAGCCACTCTGGGCGGCTTCCAACAGGATATTAAAAACACAAGAAAACATCAAACATAAAAAACTTCCCTAAACAGGGCTGCCTTCAGATGTCTTCTAAAAGTCAGATACAGTGGACCCTCGGGTTATGTAATCTTCGGATTGCAAAAACAGCAAAGCCGAAAGTATTTTTCTGGGTTACGCCACTTGCGCATGTGCAGAAGTGCTCTATCGCGCTGCAGGTGTGCGCAGAAGCGGCGCCTCTGGATACGGATTTTTTGGGGTGAGCACAGACTCCTGGAATGAATTAAATCCGTATCCAGAGGGTCCACTGTAGTTTTTTATTTCCTTGACATCTGGTGGGAGGGTGTTCCACAGGGCGGGAGCCACTACCGAGAAGGCCCTCTGCCTGGGGAGACACCTGCAAAAACCTTTGTTGCTGGGCACTTTGGGGAGGTTTGGGCAGATTAATGACCCCTTTGCATACACCTCAGCTTGCACTAGCACCAGTGAGCAGAGGTGGCAATGCCGATCTTTGAGTTCTAGTACAATTCACAATATTGCCTCTTTTTCAAAAACGAAAAGCTCTTATTAAGCGGGACCTGTCTTGCTCTGCTGTTTGGCCATCCTTGCAGCTTTCATTACCGACTCATTATTATACAAGGTTATCTATTTTTTATTTTTTTACATTTATAAAGCAGTGACCTCTTATAGTATTTTAACCCAAATCGTTACAGGATATGGTAACGTGTTTTTCCCCCTCTGAAAGTGGGTCAGATTCACATTATTTGCAGAATGACATTCTTGAATTAAGAGAGAAGCAAAGGATTAGGCTGAATTTGAAATGATCCTGGCTGGCTAAAGTTATTGGAAAGATGGTTATGAAATTTTAGAGGAGATTTTGGCTGGCTTTGATGGTCCAGCCAAAACTCCTGGACCCCAGGACCCCACCAGTCCCATTTGGCATGTACTCCCTTCTCTAACTTCTAAGCTGGTTCCTGGCAGTGCTGGATTTACATATAAGCTAAACAAGCTATAGCTTAGGGCCCCACTCTCTTGGGGGCCCCAAAAAAATTTAAAGGGAAAAAAAAATACCCTACATACAGCAACAGTGTTTGTGTGTTGTGTAGGCTCCTATGATGTAATGGGCCCCGCCTGCTAGCCTGCTCCCTAAAATATCACTGGTTTGCTCGTTTCTATATATAGGGTGCCTACATTGTGCATGGACTGGTTGCATGGCAACATGTAGCACAGGCATAGGCAAACTCAGCCCTCCAGATGTTTTGGGACTACAACTCCCATCATCCCTGACCACTGGTCCTGTTAGCATTGCAGTTGCCGATTGCAGTGCAGCACAGTTGAATGTAGGTCAAGCTGTTGTAAAGATAAAGGGACTCCTGACCATTAGGTCCAGTCGTGGCCGACTCTGGGGTTGCAGCGCTCATCTCGCTTTACTGGTCGAGGGAGCCGGCGTACAGCTTCCGGGTCATGTGGCCAGCATGACTAAGCCGCTTCTGGCGAACCAGAGCAGTGCACGGAAATGCCGTTTACCTTCCCGCCAGAGCGGTACCTATTTATCTACTTGCACTTTGACGTGCTTTCGAAATGCTAGGTTGGCAGGAGCAGGGACCGAGCAACGGGAGCTCACCCCGTCGCGGGGATTCGAACCGCCGACCTTCTGATTGACAAGTCCTAGGCTCTGTGGTTTAACCCACAGTGCCACCTGCGTCCCCAAGCTGTTGTACCTGTTATCTAATATTAAAGAGTGCTTTTAGGCTGATGATCAGGCAGCATAGACTAAGAGTATGAGTCCTATGCCTACTGATTGGTTTCATATATTCAACACGAAAAACAGCGACAATTTGCTGTTGACAAAGGACAGCTGGACATATTAAGGCCCCATTACCTTCAGTAGCATAGGGCCTCATCAAACCTAAATCCAGCCCTGGTTTCTGGAAAGGAGCTGTGAATTTTCCTTGTGGTTGGACAAACCCAGTGCAAGTGCAAGAAAAACCCTTGCATAGACAACTGTTTTTTCATGGAGCTGAACAAAGATTTAAATAGGTTTCCTCTTTACAGTTTGTGCCCTCTTTTCCCATTTGCCTCTAGTAACCAATTTTTACAGACTTTTGTGTTGTTACAAAAAATTGTGTGGCCGGAGTTGACAATACGGATGGGATAAGTCTGCCTGCTTGTGGTCTGTGCCACTTTGAGTTTTTTTTGTTAAAAATATTCATAATTCCATTTCTTTTCTGCATTAAGCTGGAATTTTAAAAAAAGATCCTCTTAAACTATGTATTTAAATGTGGATTGTGTCTCAGAACATGCATTTCAATGCGTTTTCCACTATGCTTGGAGTAAGGCAAAATCTCTTGGATAATTAAGTTCTGATCTGCACATTACTCCAAGTGGTGAAGTTCGGGACATTTTGTATTGGAATTTGCAAATACTGAGTTCCCTGTGCAGTTGAGAGTGGGGCAACAGAATTGTGCATGCACCATGGAAAGCCATGCTTCTTTTAAGGATGCCTGCCTGTCTATCAAGCCTAAGTTGGCGAAAAGCATCTGTACGTAGCCTTATTCACATTTTAATTTAGTGCCTCGCTCCAGCCTCTGTTGCTATGATTCAACAAGACTGTAATAACCCCCCAGCCAGATGGGTAGGAGAGGGGGAACTCACTTTCTTCGCAGGCCAAGGATGTGAATTACAGTAAATATTTGAAAACTTATATATTTAAAAAGTTATTATTCCAATGTGCTTTCCCCACCACAATCAATTTCTCTCACTAAATTTCAAGCTTTTTGTTCTGGGTTGCTTTAGTAAATGTCGAGTAATTTTCATGTGGCACATTTGCTATTGAGTTTTCCCTCCAGCACTATGAAGGTGTAAAGAGTCATTTTTCAAAAAGCTGATTATCACCCGCCCTTTTAAAAAATGCAACTAAATAGTTGATTGTATTTTGTATTGCAGGTCTCCACACACACACACACACACACACACACACACGAGCTGCTGAATGGAATGTAGGATAACTTACAATTTAAAAAACAAGATACCAACCATGGTTCAAAGGGAACATTTGTGTGTGTGTGTGTGTGTGTGTGTGTGTGTGTGTGTCCCCGTCTCCCCATTCCCTCTTATAGTAACACAGTGGAACCAAAATAGCTTCCAGATGTTGTATTCTTAACTCGAGTGTCCTCACAAATTAAAACTCGTCGTCTTCACCAATAACTAATCAGTGGTCAACCTCGTGGTCTCAGATTTTAGTAGCGCCTTGTGAGATGCCCCCTGCCTCTCACCTTCCATTTGACACCACTGTTGCGGTGTCCCTGAGACCCCACACACAGTGAAACCAAACCAGTCGCGCTCCCCTAAAATCGCCTCTGAACTAATGAAATATTTAGTTAGCTAATAGGATGGTTAAATCTTGTAGCCTCTCAGGTATTGCTTAAACTGGCTACAGAATTAAGGCTATAATCCTATGGTGACATTACAGTGGTACCTCTGGTTACATACTTAATTCGTTCTGGAGGTCCGTTCTTAACCTGAAAGTGTTCTTAACCTGAAGCACCACTTTAGCTAATGGGGCTTCCTGCTGCTGCTGCGCCGCCGCTGCACGATTTCTGTTCTCATCCTGAAGCAAAGTTCTTAACCCGAGGTACTATTTCTGGGTTAGCGGAGTCTGTAACCTGAAGCATCTGTAACCCGAGGTACCACTGTATTGGGAATAAACCTGAGTTCCAAGGGCCTTCTGGCAGTTCCCTCATTGGGAGGTTACAGGGAACCAGGCAGAGGGCATTTTCGGTAGTTGTGCTCGTCCTGTGGAAGACCCTTCCATTAGATGTCAAGGAAATAAAGAACTATTTGACTTTTAGAAGACATCTGAAGGCAGCCCTGTATAGGAAAGGTTTTAATGTTTGATGTTTTACTGTGTTTTTTCTTCTTCTTCTTCTTCTTCTTCTGCTTCTGCTTCTGCTTCTGCTTCTGCTTCATTTAATGGGACTTCTTGGAGAATCCGTAGAGGCTGGATTCTCAATGAATTCTAGGCTGGATTCTTTATTAATCTGCAAGCCTGAACCTATCGCATCTAGTTCTCTCCCCAATAACATTTTATTAAACCTTTTTCATCATGCAATATGATAAAAGAAACTACATAATCTAAATAGAAACACAAACAGAGAAAGAAAGAGAAACAGAGTCCTCTCTCAAAGGTAGTTCTTGTCTCACACAGAATCCCCCATCTAGTTATTGACCCTTGTTGATACTCCTTGTTTTCAAGATTGTTCTGTAATATCAATGGGGCCACTTGATGCGTATCTCTCCAGGTAGACAATTAGCAGGTCAACTGTTTGGCTTTGTGAACTTAATTACTCACTGTGCCTGTGCCTTCAGTAAGGGCAGTAGTAAGTCAGCAGAAATCATGGAGTCAGCTTTGATGAGCAAAGCAGTCCTTTCTATGACAGCTTTTGCTGCATTTTGATCATTAAGCAATTCAGCGTTTAGCCCATCCATCTTGTTTATCTGCCCTCGGGGAACGTAATCCCTGCATCCTAGGCTTCTCAGCAAGTTTGAAATTCAAACATATTTTTGGTACTGTCAGTGGTATGCAATCTAGTAGGCACATTTTGATGTAGGGTGTCGACAGATACAACCGTCCCGGCGAGTTCTGTAACGTAGCAGTTATTAGGAAAACAAATCTTTATTCTTTTCCCCGCCAGAGTGCTTGGAATATCCCAGCAGTTCTTACGCCTTGCCCCCTGCTAACAGGAAAGTTAGGGAACTCCAGCGAGCCAACATTATCTTTAAATCATCGTTAAAAATAAAACCTGCTAATCACTCCCAGAAGCATTCTTGAGGCAAAGGCTTCTCTGCAACTCTACAGTATATTCTCTGTGGGGTGTGTGTAAAAAGTAAAAGCACTATTTCTAGACATTTAAAATAAATAATATGGGCTTGAATTAATTTTATTCTTCAGAGGATCATTTCTTTTTGCAAAATCGACCATGCGGCGACCGTGTACTACATTTGCACGGGATGAGGGTACTTGCAAATAGAGAAATGGGTAGAATTTGTCAGGCAGACCCATAGGCAGTGTTCGTCAACCGCCAATGGCGAAAGAGTGGCCTCCTTTCACAATTGACCTTCTGCAACTATCTGAATTTGCAAGATTGCCCATAGCATAACCAAGAAAAATGAATGAGAACCATTAACCTCCATTCTTTTCAGAACAAGGTTGATGCCAGTATACAAGGGGACCATTAAGGGGTGGTTGTGTCAAGGGGCCACGGGTCCTCCACATTTTTAAGGAGGGCCCCAGGGCCCCTCAATATTCTGCAGCAACATGCGCACATCACTGTCATGCGGCATGCAGAACTGGTGCACGCGCGTCGCATGGCGTGTGCATGTGATGTGAGCAGGTCACGCAGCGTGCGGGATGCATGCGTGTTATGCGGCACTGGGGCCCCTGATCATGGGGGGCAGGTGGGTGCACATGGCAGTATGCAAACAGTAGCAAGGGCTGACTCTCTGGAAATCTGTTCACATTTGTGAGTTGTCTTTTTTTAAAAGAAAGAAAGAAAGAGAAGCACAAGAAACGTTAAGTGTGGGGGAAATGCCCCTTGTTTCACACCAGTGCAATATTACCTTGCTTATTGATTCACATATGTTATCCAGGCAGGAAGCAGGTCAGCTGCAGGTCAAAGTTATGCTAGAGATGCTCCAAATAGGCCCTGACCTCTGATAAGCACCTGGGGCACACCTGCCCTTCGTCATAATGATCAGGCATAAGTGATACCACTTCCAAAGGCGCTGAGCACGCAGCACTCCGGGCAAACTTTGGTATTCGCAGCACTTTTGAAAGCAAGGCCATTTATTTAGATGGATCTGCTTTGATTTAGGAACCCATTGTAATGCACCTAAACAAAAAAAAAAGGAAAGGAGAAGAGAAGAGATTTGATGCAATAGTTATGCTGAGTTTAGAACCATGGTATCGCTGTGTAAGAATTACTTTGTTGGATCCGGCTGAAGGTCCATCTGTTTCTGTCTCCATCAGTTGTCAAAACAGCTGCTTCCAAGAGGCTCAGGAGAAGGGCACGATGGTAGCATTTATACAGCACCTTTTCTACAGGTTCAAAGCACTTTACTTTGGGTGCCGTATTTTTCGCCCCATAAGACGCACCTGATCATAAGACGCACCTAGTTTTTAGAGGAGGAAAACGAGAAAAAAAATATTCTGAATGAAACAGTAGATGTATGATTTTTGTGGTTCATTCTGTGGCCACAGACATGTGATCTGATGGTGAATTTGGGGTGACCCAATGCAAAAATCCTGAGGATCCATGTGGATCCGTGCTTTGTAATGATCAGCGGCTTTGTTTCAAAAACAACTTCCCTCTTTCAAAACGAAAAAAGAAAAAAAAGAGCATGATCTGCTTTTTGCCGCTGGGCAATTCGGCTCCAGGGACCATGCATTCGCTCCATAAGACGCACAGACATTTCCCCTTATTTTTAGGAAGAAAAAAGTGTCTTATGGAGCGAAAAATACCGTAATTCTTCGTTGGAGCGTGTTCAAAGCCCTTTCCATGCATTTGTGGCAGCAGTCCTTACAACAGCCCCGTAAAGTAGGCCCCTGCTGTTAGTTTACAAAATTGCAAGGCAGCCTTTCTATTTATTTTTTAAAAGAATATACAAATTGGTTTATGAAAACAACCATAAAATAACAATTAAAGCAGCATAAATTAGCTAATTGTAAAACCATAAGCAAAGTAGTAGGAATAAAAAACCAGGGAAGGAAAAGCAGCAAAACAGCAACCATCCATCGCCCATTAAAAGTCTTAGAAATTACCTCTTTCCTACAGTCTAAAAGTATTGATGCTGGCCAAGCCTGCTCAAGGAAGTCATTCCAGCATGGTATAGTGGTTAAGAGCTGTGGACTTGTAATCTGGTGAACTGGGTTCGCTTCCCCGCTCCTCCACGTGCAGCTGCTGGGTGACCTTGGGCTAGTCACACTTCTCTGAAGTCTCTTGGCCTCACTCCCGCCACAGAGTGTTTGTTGTGGGGGAGGAAGGAAAAGGAGATTGTTAGCTGCTTTGAGACTCCTTAGGGTAGTGATAAAGCGGGATATCAAATCCAAACTCTTCTTCTTCTCTTCTTCCATGGTGGAACCACCACCACCAAAAAAAGCCCCCACTCCACTCCTTAGCTGCTTTAGTTGGTCAGAGGAATTTGGAGGAGGACACTTGACATGGACCTTAAATTCTAGGCAGGTTCATATGAGAGAAGATGGTCCTTTAATTACTCAAGTCTCAAGATACTTAAGGTTTAAAATAACATCCTCCTGAACTGTGTCAAGAAGTACGCCAGGAGCCAATGAACCCCTTTTACAGAATCACAGATTTGTAGAGTTGGAAGGGACCACAGGGGTCCATCTAGGGGACATGGGTAGGCAAACTAAGGCCCGGGGCCCGGATCTGGCCCAATCACCTTCTAAATCCAGCCCGCGCATGTTTTTACATGAGTAGAATGCATGCTTTTATTTAAAATGCATCTCTGGGTTATTTGTGGGGCACAGGAATTCATTCATCCCCCCCAAAAAAATATAGTCTGGCCCCCCACAAGGTCTGAGGGACAGTGGGGCAGCCCCCTGCTGAAAAAGTTTGCTGACCTCTGAATTCTAGGACAGTGCCCTGCAATCTTTCACCCAACATGGGATTCAAACCCACAACCCTGAGATTAAGAGTCTCATGCTCTACCGACTGAGCTATCCAGCGCTGGGACAGTGCATGGTCCAAGTGGTGCGTCCTTGTTAACAACTAGGCTTCGGTTTAGTGGAATGCTTTCTGGAAACCCTCCACTTATAATACTTGGTCTTGATGTTACAAGGGTATGGGCAACTGGAGGAAGGATATCTCTCCTGACCAGGAGATGATGTAGCTGGCATTCAACGTAAGTACCTTCAATCCAGGGGAATGGTCATCAAGACAGTTTAAGCCCTGTTGGATGAAAGACTGCTTGGAGGAGGAAAAACAAAATATGGTTGGGGTGCCTTCCTCTGTAGTCAGCTGACTGTCTGCTACCTCTGCCTATGTAATATGGCAGCACTTCTGTCTCCCTCGC